GATTGCTTGTCTCAACTACCTGTATTCTTTCTTCCTCCTAGTCTCCCAGTTAATCTTCACTTATACTCTGCATGCCTAGCGTTTGGGGGGGGGGGGGAGGGTAGTAAAGCAGTTGTTTTTCTTCTGAACTGGTGTAAATTATCTCCTGCCTTCCACAGAGCATCCAGAGAGGATGGAACACTTCAGCTGTGCTAGGAAAATGCCTGTTTCTTGGGTTTGGAGAATAAAAGCTGAGAATTTGCTATAGGCTAGTGAATCCTCTGCCTGCACGTACTGCAGTCTTCATCAGCTTCCCGTGACGTTGCTGTGAACCCTGGGAATAATCAGTATTAGCCTGGTCTCTTGTGCAGCAGGATCCAAATGATCCTTTCTGAAGAGGCAAAGAAAGAAGGGGTTGATCTGCTGGCAGTGAGAACACCATCTTTTGCTGAAAGCAGAAGCACAGTTCAGTTAAATTAGCAGGGGCTGCTCTTTGCCTGGGTGTGTGCACATTTAGGAGGGCTCAGTGGAAATCAGTGGGCAGCAGGCAGGCGGGGACAGTGTTCTCTGGAAAAGGGGTGAATCAAATTAGAGAGTTTTTCTTGTTCAGTGAGATCAAACTTCATTTTTTTCTTTTGAAATGGACTGAAGGAAATAAACCTTGTTCCTTTGGTTGACCAAAGTCACTATTTAGTTAGGAAAAGGACATTGTATTTACTCCTATTTTTGGAGCATTATTCATTCCACAGGACAAGTCAGGACAGATGTATCACTGTGGGTAAAGTTGAAGTTATGAGTTTCTCTGCCTTTACCAGCTAGGAATTAAGATCAGAGTCTGGCTGTTTCACAACATAATTGACATCATGCCACAGCCAAATTCCCTACAGCAAGCCAACATTCAGCAGCTGGGAAAGAAGTGGGGGGAAAATGGGGAGTAAAGGGAAGTGGTGTGACATGGTGACCTAGATACCTAAATTAGAATGGGCTAGGGAAGGAGAGAAAATTATTTTGTGCTTTTTTAGTGCGTGAACAAGAACCTGAGACCTGAGAAAATGAGAATTACCGTTTTGTAAACAATTTAAGATGGTTAAAAATGTAACCAGAATGGTCCTCAGCAGCATTTCTTAGAAGGAACATGTAGAGACATCAGGAGCACATCAGGAACATCTGCCTGGGATATACAGAGAGCAGACTGGGTGGATGAGAATGGACAGGCCAAAAAGCCCCCACCTCTTGGTCACTCTTGTCACAGCACAGACAGAAGCTGCAGAAGGCTCTGGACTTCTGAAAGAGCAGGCACAGCAGCAGCCTGGTTCCCCTGGTGTGTATTTTGGGGAATGGCAGAGGGCAGAGGTGAAGGTCAGTCCCTCCCCACGCCAGAGCCAGCTCCCTGACCCACTAAAAAGCTTTAACTGGCACACTGCTGTGCCCTCTCCCTTGCACACCCAGGAGAGGGAAGCAGGGGCTGCCCACAAGTCACAAAATGTTTGGAAATGTGCCTCAGCCTGGGCTGACCCCGCTGTAAGGCCACAGGCAGAGCCAAGCCACCAGTTGGCTCATGCCAAGGAGGCAGAGCCTCCCTCTGGTACCTGCTTACCCTCTCCAATTCAGCTTTCTAACCCAGCTCACGGTTCACTTTTGTCTTTCTGAAGTTTGCTGATAGTGTTGGCTAAGCCTAAAATCAGAGAAGTGGCAGGAGAAGGAAGGGAAGACAGGGAGCCTACAAACATGGAGGCAGAGGAGGAAGGAGCAGAGCAATGAGAGCAGGACAAGGGAGAAAAGGGATGAAATACAAAGGAACAGGAAGCAGAGCTGGGAAAGATGTCAGTACTCCTGTACAATTTCTGGTACGAATTATAGTATATACTGTTTTTCTCACTGAAAAACATCACTGAAGTAAAAGGGAACCACTCCAAATAAAAGTATTATTCAAGCAGAACAGTTTTTTGGTTTCGAAAACAAACTCACCAGCACATTTGAAAAGTGAACACAATGATTTACAGCAGTTGAAGATCTGGACCTGGCAATTATTTTTAAATGCTAATACCAGTAGATAGGGACTGTGACCAATTCCCACCTTGTCACCCAGCCCAGAGTACTGAATGGCATGTCCAGTCTTTCCTTGAATGGGGATAGGGATTCAGCCACCACTCTGGGCAGACCCTTCCAATGCCTGAGCACCCTTTCCATGAAGAAATTCCTGCTGGTGTCCAACCTGGCACAGCTTGAGGCCGTTTCCTCTTGTCCTGTCCCTGTTCCCTGGGAGCAGAGCCCAATCCCCCCGGCTGTCCCCTCCTGTCAGGAGCTGTGCAGAGCCAGAAGGGCCCCCTGAGCCTCCTTTTCTCCAGGCCGAGCCCCCCCAGCTCCCTCAGCCCCTTCCCCAGCTCCGTTCCCTTCTCTGGACACGCTCCAGCCCCTCCATGTCTCTCTCGTCCTGCGGTTCCCCAGGTGCCCCAGGATCTGAGGTGTGGCCCAGCAGTGCCAGCACAGGGCACAGTCCCTGCCCTGGCCCTGCTGCCACGCCATGGCTGGCACAGCCCAGGTGCCATCGGCCTCCTGCCCCCTGGGCACAGCTGGCTCCTGTCCGGCCGCTGTGCCCAGCACCCCCGGGGCCTTTCCCAGCTTTGCAGCCCCTCTGCCCAGCCTGGAGCTGCAGGGCTCGGGGTGAGCCAAGGCAGGGCCGGGCCCTTGGCCGTGCTGCCCTCAGAGCAGGGCCTGGGCCCATGGATCCGGCCTGGCCAGATCCCTCTGCAAAACCCTCATATCCTCCTTAAACTTGTCAGCACTCCTGGTTAAGTGGGGAATTGAGCAGGTTTCTGCTGTACTGATCATTTGCCTACTAAAAAATTGGATCATTTCTACATGAAAATGCAACCAATGAATCTAGGTAAAGGTTAGACCAACCAAAGGAGTTGGGTATTGTTGCCCTTACCATTTCATCAGCTCTCTTGAAACACTTGATCCCTTGGCATAAAGTTTACCTAGTGTTAAAGCTGTGTTTAGTTTTCCTGTGCAACATTTGGGAAGAATGGTGAATTCTTCAAAATGGCATTCACAGCAGCCAGGGCCTTGCACAGATAGGTGCCTAACATAATTCACAGGAAGATGAGGAGAACAGATGTTTACTTTGACCCAAGGAGAGATGCACAGCTTGTATGTCTTCCTCACTGGATTTAAATAACGTCCTTCCTCTACAAAGAAAGAGAAAAAGCTCTCTATTCCTCTTAAGGCAGAGCTACAGGACAAAGAGCCTTCCCCAAATCCTCCTTCTTGTGCTATAATTTAATGCTTAAAACAGGTCCAGACTGAGAAAGGTCACTTAGGACAACTCTTGGCACACAGCGGTGAAACTGTACCCAGCTCTAATGACTTTAGCCACTCTCCTCAAGCTGTATTCTGGAATAGCTGCTTCAAACCTCCAGTTCCACAAACAGGAACTCAGGAGACTTTTAGGGAAAAGGCAAGCTGCCTAAAGCATCTCTTTCTTTCCTCACAAATTTTTGGAAGCCTGGTGGCTACAGAATGAATTTGGTGTAATGGGCCACAATGGGCAGTGGCAGGTTGTCCAAGACTTTCACAACACAATTAATTTTCACTCAGTGAAACTTAACCTTTCACTAAGTCCCTCAAACCTGCAGTACAGCTGAGTGAGCAGAAAGGTCCCCAAGTGCTGGGCAGCATGCAGGGACATCACCCCTGCTGAGGCTGCCTCCCCTCCTACCTCAGGTCCCCTCTGCTTCGTTCCAGGGAATGACTTTCCCCAGGTCACCTGGCTTACATAAGCCGTAAGGAAGCTTTTCCATGCTGAGGCTACGTGTGGTTTGCTGTTCAGCAGCTTTAAGTAGGCAAACACGAGGGAAACAGAGGGGGAAAAAAGTTATTTCCTGCCACTGCAGTTCCTCCACCTAGTTCACTGTGCACTGATGCTCATATGAGCACAGCCAAGGATGGCAGAGGGCTGGCACTCACTGCCTAGGTTGCTATTTGTCTTGGTTTGGAAAGACAGATGTCTGCTAAGGAAGGCAGGAACCTCCCCTGAAATAGAAAAAAAAAGTAAACCCCCTCCCTCTGAATTGTTATAAATTTGAAATTAAGGGGGACCCTCGGGCAAAAATATGGGAAAAGGAATAACAGTTCTTTATTAGGGAAGAAAACAAAAAGATAAAATAAACAATGCAGTGAAACAAAACATCACTGACAGAGTCAGAAATACAACCTGACACCCTGCTGGACAGGGTGTTGGCAGCAGTCCCATTGCAATTGTGGCTGCAGCCCTCCTGGAGTGCCAGGTGTGGTTCTGTTGGAGCAGTGATCCTGTAGGAAAGGGTGCAGTCTTCCTCTGAAGAGGCAGCTGTTCCTCTGGGAAATCCAGTGCAGAAAAAGCCGTGCTGGTTCCAGAAACTCAAGATTATATCCAGGTAGGAATGCTTGGCTCCTCCCTCTGGACACAGCATCTCACAATGGGATGCTGTAACTTTTTTATCAGTCATGCAGTGACATTCAATAGCCATTATCAGCAGAGTCTCCCCTGAGAGAGGCTTGCTTGTAGAAGAGATAAAGAAAACTGCCCAATTAACAGAAGACAACTGCCATACAGATGGCAAGTAGCATACATCTTGCCTTTCAATCTGGAACACTATTGTTGCCCAAAAGCTCACTACAATTTTTTTGCTTTTCAAGGCAAACTGCATGAAGTCCTTTGGGCAACTTTTTTGGCACTTGTGAAGTCCCTGTCCCCTTTGTGCTGGCATCATGTAGTTCTGTCAACCAGCCTGTGGTTTGGTTTAGCCATCTGCAAGGTGCAACTTTCTTTATACAACTTCCTTCCCTTCTCCAACTGGAAGGAAAAACACACCTAGGAATTTCAAATCCCTGGTATTTACGAATCAAGAGAACTAGGACTGCTCTACCAAAGGTCTATATTTATGCACAGCCCATATGTTTACATCCCACCCACACACTCTGTTGACAACATCTGCACCTATGTTGAGCTCCATAATCTCCTCTCCAGAATTTCTTAATGCATTTTCAAATGTTAAGAAGGTGTTAATGCATGCTGAGCGTTTTACTGGTCTCTGTTTACACAATCAATCATTCCCTTTTATTACAAATGGTAGTTTCATACTTTTCTCATGAGGTTCCACCTCTCAGGGGTGCTGAATGAAGGACCAGCTGTTTCTCTGAAGAATGAGATTCCCTGCAAAGAGGTGAATATAAAATAAGCATGCACATTTCCTGGCTAGTGAATCACTGTGTGCAAGATAAGATTCAAATGCACCACAACTCTTGGGAAATATTCTGCCAGAGAAAATGTATATATCTATATCTAGAATAATTCTCTGAATATTACTGGTGTTAGAGTTGGGAAGACAAACACCTAGTCTTAAGGGCAATTACAGGTTTGAAGTCTTTTCTTAGGTCAAGGCCAAATGTAATTAATAATAAAGCTTGCATGTCAGCACTGGGCATGGTCATTGCTGTATCTCATTAGCAGGACGTATAAAGCTGCATGGGATCTTTTGCAAGAAACTATTGCAACATGCATTCCAGGCCACAAAGTTATGAAACAAAAATAAAGTGAAAATATATTTTAAAAAATGGGCCATGTTCCTGTGAAACAGTTTTTGGACCATGTTCATGTGAAATAGTTCTAGGCTATTTGTTCCATGCAAAAGTGAAATTATGAAGAGTAAAGGCAATGGCTTTTGATATCAGACCTGAGAAGCAAATTTTAACTCACAGGACTTTTCTGTTTGTCTCTGAGAAGAAAAAAACACACCTGACACCAAGGAATTCAATATATGAAAATTCTTTGCTTCTCCTACCTGATCCAGCTACACTGGTTTCCAGCCACCTTCGGATAGGAAAATGTGCTGAGTGCTGGAGGCTTTTTCCAATAAATCAACAAAGCAAGGCTCTGGTGCCAGCAGTCAGTCACTGTTGTCAGTCCTTTAGCACGAGGTGGAAGCTCTTGATGATCAGTGAGAGTGTTACGTGCACTGCAATTCAGCAGAGCCAGTGATGCCCCTTGTATGGTGCTCTTCTCTGCCTGCTGTCACAGCCTGTTCTTGAGAGACACCTGTTTGCAAACAAGCTGGCCAAAAGCAAATGTGCTCTCTATGGGTTTTTTTACACATCCTTTGGGTTATCTTTTCAAAATTTGTTTTATTGCGTTTCTCCCTCCCACATCACCCAGAGGAAGAAAGGGCTGGCAGAAGAATTTGCATTTAGGCAGCCAGAATTTTTAGGGCATGGGATGCACCTAGGTCTGAGAACCTCCCCTATATTTTAAGGTTCAGCAACAGTCACAAAATGGTTTGCACAAGTGAACTACAAGCCAGGTAGTAGCACACTAAGTACTAAAGACCAAGCAACCAGAGGAAGTACTTCCAATACAGCTTCTAAAATTAAGATCTCTGTTCTGTAAGAGCACACAGCTTGAAACAGGACCTGAGAAGAGATTTTTTCTAAAGACCTACAACCTCCATGCTTCAGTCACAGAGAGCACAGGGATCTGTCTCTACAGAATGACGCACTGTTGGATTCTAGCAAAAGGTACGTGAAATGGATACTTGATTTTTGATTTTCTTTTCCTTTGCAAAAGATCATGGCAGAAACCTCTGGAAAACACCAGCCGATGATTTATCTATCTGGTTTTAGGTTTTGCATTGCCATTTTCATGCAGATCTTCACAGCTGATTTCCCTTTGCCCAGACTGGAGTCTGTTAGTCCACAGTCACAACTGCAAGTGAGAGAAAAGATGTCTTAGCTTAGTTCAAAGAGTTATGCTGTGAAGTTTGGAATCCACACTAGAACAGCTCAAACTGTTATCATCTACTGTATCAGACATGTATAAACCAATCTTTGAGCTCATATTCTCAAGTTTCTTCAGCTTTACTGTACACAAAAATAATGACTTAGAAACGTCACCAGAACCTTAACCTGAACTCCCAAATCCATACTCAAATGTTAAAAGATCAGGCCCAAGGGAAAAATAGGTCAGCAGCTTTCACTCAAACAACCTCTGGCCAAAGTAACCTAAGAGTAGTGAACCTGAGACCTCTGCAAGCTTAATGTGGCACAAGACATGCAAAGAGAAATAAATCCCCACCAAGTGCCTGAGTCTTTGCTGGTCCATATGGTTTGAGCAGAGCTGGAAGCCAGTCATGGAACAGGAATGATGCTTGTTCCAAGTGTAGTTTCTCTGTGAGGTTTACAATAGAGTGCAGTGAGGGGGTTTCAATTGATGTTGCGAAGGGACTAAAAGCCATTGAAACTTATCTTGGCAGGATGATTTCAATGTCCTTTCTTTGTCCCTGCTCCCCAGTGTACAGCCCTGCCAGTGGTGAGTGTGCACATGGGGCCTTGGCACCAGGGGTGTAATGAATTCCTCGACCAGGTTATGGTCTGCATTTGTCCTCAGCTTACCTCCCTCTGTAACTCAACACTTCTCCATTCCTGTCCTGTGGTTCCTCATGCATTTTAAAGAGGCAAAGCTGTTAAAAAGTCTCCAGGCCACTTATCCAGTAGAATTTCTCTTCTTTTATCCAGCCCTGGTAGGATGATCCCATAAAAGGAGTAGAATTAATATTTGTTATTGATTGTAATTTCTGTGACAAATTAGCATCTTCAGAGGAACATAAACAGCAGTTACCTGAATAACAAAGACAGCAGAGCTCATGTTCTTTCTCCCCTTCATGCACTGAAACAAGAGGAGTAAACTTGCAGCATCCCACATAAGAGAACTCAAAGGGAGTGTAAAGCGATCCCTTGGTTTTGCTTTTTGGATTCTTTTAAGCAGAGGAAAGCAAGACTTTCTGTCATGAGCCAAGGCTGCATTACTCACCAAAGGCACCTAAACTTTGCCAACAAATGCTTTGTGTTTCTACAGAAAATTTTCAGAGCAAAATTTCTGTGCTAGGCAGAGATGAGGCTTGGATATTTTTAGATTAGGTAGGTGATTACTTGACAAGGTCACTTGACAAGGACACACACACACACATGACAGACTGCACTGGCAAGTGTCCTGGGCTCCAGAAATTCTAGCAGGTACATTGTTATCCTTCTGGAGAAGTTCTAGGCTGTAGATCTGGCTTAGCTCTCAGTAAGTCAGACTTCCCCTCCAACTTTGAAACTAGACTTGTTGAGTGATACTGGGCCCTTTCCACCTCCCCCATAAAAAAGGCTATTGTGATATGTTGGGAAGGGTCAATCTCTTTTAAAATGCTTTAACAACGAATCCCTGAAAGTAAAAAAAAATTAAAAAAAAAAAAAAAAAAAGGAAAACATTTGCTGTTTCCAAGCAGGGCTTAGCAGTAACTTCTTGAAACTCTTTCTCTGTCCGATGATAGAAATTGTTGTCAGATTTACACAGTTGGCCAAGATCTCAGACCTGATTCTTTGTCACCTGCCCAGTACTGCTTGTCACTTCCTGCTAATGCTCCATCTTGTGTGATTCCTTTTCCCATAAATTATGTGCCTTCAGCTACCTGCAGGCACTTAAATGGTACTTTTTTCCTAAGGAGTTAAAGGCACCTTACAAGTGCACTATGAGTTTCTCTATTTTTGCATGAAAGGTTTTATTTAGTTCACATCTTAGGAAAATGGCATGCCTATATTATAATTAACATAGCTGCTAAATGGAAAGGATGAAGGGTGGTTAAATGACAAACAGAAGGTGTGTCTGTTGAGTTTATGTGCAAGACATTTGGTTGGGTCAGCGTCAGCTTAACAGAAGTTTGAAAGCTGCATGCAAGTTTCCTAGTAAATCATAACCCCACTGAAATACATTTGATTTTCTTCATGAGGCCTTTCAGACCTTACTTCATATTCCTGGAATTATGGGAAAATTATTATGGCCTTGATTGAAAAGATTTAAGATGTGTATGCAACACAGATTGCAGCATATAGTACATGGAGTGATACTTGATAAAAACATGACACTTGTCAACAATATTTTATATAAGCTATGAACTTGATCAAAATCTTGGCATAAATTTCAAAACTGCATCTTGTACAATTGCAGTAGGGTTGGTAGTGCTTGTGACAAGGTTGTATCACCTTTCTTGGATGGGATCAATCCTGTCATTATGCACCTTAAAGTTTTTTGTTGGTTGCCATTTTTTTTACAAGAGATGTTGTTTGTTAAGCTAGAGAAGATGTAGTGGAGAAATTGCACTATCTGTTAGAAGCAGCCCAAGAAGATACAGATAGTGAAAAAGGCTGGGCTTATGTGGGACACCAGTGTTAGAAATGAATTTGGCATTGTGTACTGGGGGAATTGCAATACATTTAAAAACACTGATGTGAATTGAGATAGGGAAGGACCTGGATTTACCAGTTCATCACAGCACAAGTAATCAGAATCCATGATTCAGCTGCCCTAGCAAGGACTGTGCAGAGCTCTAGAGAAGTCCCATCAGAAGGACCAGTTGCTTTACTGGTTGGGGTGCATTTGCAGCGCCTGTGTCATGAGAGGAAGCCAGAGGAGCTCAGCTCCCTGAGTGTCACAGAATGGGGGATAAAGGGAATAAAACTCAGCACCCTTTCCATTGTCAGTGTTATACAGGAGATACTAATGTCAAAGGACACAAAGCAGAGGAGCAGATGGTTATGAACTGGCCATTTTACAAGAGAAATAGGACTTCTGACTATTCAGGAAATGTGGTTCAGGAGCAACCTTCTAGTGACAGTTTAGGGATTGAAAAAAAATTTTCAAACAGTTGATGTCTACCAGCAAAACTGAGCTTAGCCCTGAAAAACCTATTGATGTGATAATGTTCTGAAAATCCCCTGCTTGCCTGCCATTTAATTGGCTCTGCCAGACTTCTGTAGATGTCCAGAAATGTCCCTGTCTGAACACCTCGGTGTCCATTTTCCAAAATATGGATTAAGAAATGGTACTCTTATGGTCTGAGTAGATAGCATGAGAGTACACATGAAGTGAATACAAAATACAGCACAGATGGGCCTTTCCTTCAGAAGAGCATGGAAAAGTTACAGGAGTCACAATCACATTTTTAATGAAAGAAGGCTCTTCTAGGAAGTGTGAAATGTGGTTTCATCTCTCTTTTCAGCTTCTTCCTTCCCTGTGAACTGAAAAGGGTTCAATTCATTTTCCTAAATAATGGGAAGCACCTTAAAGACAGGTAGGATTTGGATTAGGACACTCCCTGCTCTGCTCATTGAAATGGTGAATGGATGAAGGTGAATGGCCCAACAAGACAGAAGTGGCTAGAGAGGTAACTTAGAAGTGGGAAAACTGGAAATATGGCCCAATGCTTGTGGTGCTCAATTAGAGGCAGAATTATGGCTTCAATTCCACTGAAAAATTGTTTGAATTCTGCTCTCTTCATGGCAGCGCTTTCTTTAAATTAAAGGTCTCACAACATAACCACTCCAAGGTGTTTTTGGAAAGCATGAACTCTTCTTGGACTCTTCTGAGATGTTATTACACCCCATTGTTATGATATAATGCTGCATGCTGGTAGCTAAAGAGGATTTCTGCAGTCCTGAGTGAGCCAATTAAATCCTGGAGGATTTCAGAGGTGCTGTTCCTTGTTTTATTTTCATAGTCGAGCCCTGGGGATCTCCCTGCTGGGCAGGGTAATTGTTGTGAATTCCCTTCTGAGCTACTCAATCTCTACCAGCATTGCAGGGCGAGCCTAAGAACTCAGGGATTTGTGGTGACAGAGTCGCATACAAACGCCATTTCTTACAAATTATAGAGGAAACCTGCTACTTTTACAGGGAAATAAACCCTACCTGGATATGTTCAGATGCATTCAAGAGGACTTGAGCAGAAAATTATTTAGAGCATCTGGCCTGCAATGCAGCACTACACAGACATATCTGAGCTGTTGTTTAGGAAAATAAGCCTGCAGAGCTGAAAGCATGAGGTCTTCAGAGTCGTAATTATGAGATCTCCAGAAGTCCACCAGTACCTGACACCCACTGTGCCTTACTGATCCCGGACCCACTGTGCCTTACTGATCCCAGACCCACTGTGCCCTACTGATCCCAGACCCACTGTGCCTTACTGATCCCAGACCCACTGTGCCCCACTGATCCCGGACCCACTGTGCCCTACTGATCCCAGACCCACTGTGCCCTACTGATCCCAGACCCACTGTGCCCCACTGATCCCGGACCCACTGTGCCCTACTGATCCCGGACCCACTCTGCTTCACTGATCCCAGACCCACTGTGTCCCACCGACCCCGAAGCCCACCGCGCCCCTCTGGACCGCCTCGCTCGGGGCGGGAACTGGCAGACAGGCGGGGCTGGGGTACCGGTGGGGGCTGCCCGAGGCAGGGGGTCCGGAGGGTCCGGGGAGACCGACAGCTCACCGGGAACTGAGGGGAGCGAGCGACGCGGGGCCGGGGGCGCGCGTCTCACCCTCGGGAGCGCGCCCTGCCAAGGGCGGGGGCGCGGGCGGGGGCGGGGCCTGATTTGCATGTGCCCGCTGGTTGGCTGGGGGCGCCTTGTACCACCGTGCGGCGGCGCGGGATTGGCTGCGGCGCGGCCGGCGGCGGGGGCGCGGCCGCCGTGTAACGTGAGGGGCGGCCGCGCCGAGCGCGCTCAGTCGCCGGGCAGCGGCCGCCGCCACCGGAGCGTCCCCGGCCCCGCCGGCCCCAGCGCGTTCGTCCCGCCGGCCACCATGCTGGACCGCGAGGGCGGCTGGAGCGTGTCCTTCGCCGGCTGCGGCTTCCTGGGCGTCTACCACATCGGCGCCGCCACCTGCCTGCAGGAGCGCGCCCCGCACGTCATCCGCGACGCGCGGCACATCTACGGCGCCTCCGCCGGGGCGCTCGCCGGTGCCGTCCTGGTCGGGGGCGGCTCTCTGGGTTAGCGGCGGGGCCGGGGGGAGCGGGGCGGGCAAGGGGCAGGTGCAGCGGGCAGGGCCGGCTCCGAGTTTCTGCTTCTCTTCAGCCCTAAAACGTGTTCCCGTGGGTGGGATGAAATCCCGGCGGGGTCCGTGGCTCGGGGAATGGTGGTGGCGGTGCCCGATGCCATTCGCACGCTTGCGCGGCCGGGGGGTCGGAGTTCCGTGCGTGTCCATCCCTGCGGGGCTGCTGTCACCGCCGCTGACCAAAGTCCGGGATTTTCCTGGGACAGCGGGGGGCAGCCGAGCCCTGACACCCTCCAGGGCAAGTCGGCCAGCCCTGTATGGGCTGTAAATGTGTTTGCGTTTCCTCGGCAAATAGAGCATCTCCCCGCACGTGAAGTGCCGGTGGCTTTATCTTGCTTCCTCCAAAGCTGCTCCTTTCTGGGGTAAGGCTAAGAGAGTTAAGGTCAGGGTTTAGGTTAGCTTTAACGCGCTTTTCCTCTCTAATCTGGGCACGGTGAGTGTTGTAAAGGTCGCTTAGGTGTATGGTTAGAAACAGTAGATTGATTAAAATTTTCGTTTAAATAATAGAGGTTATCTTGTGTTGTTTTTCTGCCGTTTTATGTTGTTTTGATAACTAAAGATGTTAGTTTGAAACGGGATGTAGTGCTATTTTCCACCAGTAAGAAAAGTACACCTTACTTTTACCTACTTAGGGCTCATGGATATACATTTTTCTAATGAATGAAACTTGATAAAAGCTATCAAAATATCAAGGTGCTTAGGATAGCAGCAGGATTGCAGTTAAAAAAAAAACAACTATATGAAATATCTGAAAATCTGATAATGGTTTTCTTTCTAAAGTAAAGAAATCCACTGAGTAACACACCTGTCTAGTTCATGGCTCCACACTGATTGTTTTTGCTAGCAGCACCCTTGAGTGGTTTACAACTAGAGGATTTTGTAAATTCAGATTTCGTCTTGGAAGAGAAAGAAAACTTTGAGTACCTCTTTTGAATTTGGAGAGGTTTTTGGGTTTTGCTATTAAATTTCTGAGGAAAAAAATCCACTGACAAAAACAAGCAGAAGTTCTCTGTAAGTACAGGACAGCAATGCTTGTCCCTGCTACTTTAGCCACTGAGCTCTAGCATATAAGCTTAGTTTCTTCAAAGCTTTAGCTGTAAACTTGTGCTGCTTAATTTTGCTGTAATATCTGAGCATGATACACTTGAGTTACTATGATCCTGCTATCAGCTTTTAAACCATATTTTTCTCCAATAGCCAGTATTTTTAGAACATATCCAGTTTTATGTCTTAAGTCATTGTAAATGATTTGAGAAGGAAGCTGTCAAATAAATGAAACACTCTAAAGCCCAGAAAATATATATTATTTGGCAACATGAGTTAATAACAGCTTTTAAATTTAGGTTTAGCACTTTAATAATTAAGAGTTGTAGATTTCAAACTATTACCTTTCCCAATTATTACCAATCTCATATGCTGATTGAGATTTTTGATTTTCTCTAACTAATGGAACATGTGCGTGGTCACTGTCCAAGGTAGCAGATTCCATGGGCAAGTGTGTTTCTACTGGAAAAAAAAAAAAAAAATAAAGGCATCCCTTGAAAGACAGTTCAAAACCACGCACATTCTAAAGTCTGTGAATTGCTGTAAATTGGCAGAGCTAATAAGGTATTCCCATGCTAATTCTCTGAGTTTCTAGCTGCCATTTCTGTGAGCTTGTGTGAAAGCAGAGGATGGTAAATAAGCTGTAAAGAAACAGTGTTTTGCAGTGATTATAAGATACCTCTAGTGAGTTTGTATCTTATTTCTCTCTTACTCTGATAGACTTTAATGTGCAGTGTTTGTAGTTCCTGCAGCTGGAGGTGTTAGCAAATCCCATGTTTTTAATCACAGTTGCATTTTCGTGTGGGTAGACAGAACCCAGCTCTTCCCAGAGGTGAGAGGAAGGATGAGAGGCAGCAGGCACAAGCTGGAACCTGGTAAATTCACATGAGGTGTAAGGAAAAGACAGTTGTTATGAGACTGGTAAAATAATAGAACAACTTCCCAGAGAGGTTGTGGGGTCTCCACACTTGGAGATGTTTGGGGCTTGGCAGGACCCAGGCCTGAGCTGCTCTGTGTGCTGGTGCACACAAAACAGGGTGTGCAAATCTGTGAGCAGGGGCTGTGGCTAGAATTGAAGAGCATATTTCATTTCTTACAGCCTTGTAGCCAGCTGTTTCAAGGGAAGGGTTTTCTCTTTGACTCAGATTACCTGCTGTACAGGTGGGGAGTATGTGGAACTTCAAATGTAGATAAATATTAGCCATTAATTAGCCATTATTAGCCATTGAATGGGGAAGAAGAGCGTAGTTTTATAGACTGACAAAGAGGTTTCATTAAATCTGGGGGAGGTTGGGAAGCTTAGCCATGAGTGTTGTTTTGAGGATGAAGTGCACTCCAGGCTATTCCAAACTGGAATGTTAAAAGTTGCACTCCTTGGATGACCTGGAAATCTGGTATTTTGGTGGTGCTGTTATCATCCATTTCAGTGGGACACTTAAAGAGAGCAGGTTTAGTGCAGGCTGCAAATGTAATGTCAGGTTTTACTCTGTGGGATAAACTTCTCAGGTTTTACTCTGTGAAGCAAATGAATCGTTAATAAACAATTAAAAATAGGAATGCAGAACTGTAACAAGAGACAGTTCACATTTATTAGGAATATTAATTTCTTTAGCTCTCCTGTGTTTCAAAAATAAAACAGATGGACCAAGACCTGCCTAAAATCCCAGTTTGACTTGAGCTCTAGCCCTTAGTCCCTTTTTGAAAAGTTCTGTTTTGGAATACACCGGTCTAAGAGGTAACTATTTTAGTCCTGTTGGGAAGGAAGGGAGAAGGAAAAGAAGTTGGACTACTTTGAAGTCTGTTGAATTAATAGCAAGAAACTTTATAAATTTTCAGTGTTTTAAGATCATGTACTTTTAGATAGAATTTCTCCTTTTTTTTTTTTTTTAATTGATTTGGAGCCCTTCTGGGGTTTAAAATAGGTTACAATAAACAAAATATGTCAGTTTTTTTATTTTTCCCTATGAACTACTTTGAGCATGGAAATTCTTGTATGTGGAGACAATGAGTAACTGCTAAATCAAGTTGCATGCATTTGTATTTGCATTTGCTGTTGGTTTGTATTTTAGACAAAGTAAGTGACTTGCTTGGTGCATAAGCTTTCAAAACTGTATTTATTTTGGAAAAGGTAAATATTGTGTATGCTCCAATACTGCTCTTCCTGGCCAGAGTTCTGGTAGGTCAGTACCTCAGACTTCTGCAACACAGCTATTTTTAGAAAGTTTAGAAGGTAGAGCATTTCTAAATAAAAAAAAGGGAGTTGGTAACCAATATCTGGATGCAGGGAAAATTACAACTGCTAGAACTACCTGATTCTGCTTTTGGCGGTAACTTCGTCACTTGTCAGAATTTTATTTGTGTGTAAAATGTGTTTTACTAAGATAAACATATATTTGAGCATGAACAGTGAGCTGTGTCTAAATTGTTTTCTGTCTTCTGGGGTGGGGTTAGTGTCAGGCTACTGGTGCCAGTGGATTTGTGGCCCAAGATTTCCCTCTGTGAGGATGGAATGAAACAATTGAAGTGGTAAAAACAAAATGTGTCTGATACTTCAGATTTTGTAGAGATGCTCTTTTGGACATAGACTCTTAGCTGAGAATGATAAATGTTTAGTTATTGCTATTTGAAGGGGGAATAACATTGTAGAAATGTAATATTTTTGGAAACTAATCTGAGCTCAAAGGCTTAAGCAGAGTTTAAGTTGCTAGTGCAGTGCTCACGTATAACCTGATAAATTGAATTATATCTGTTCTAGTAAGTTCTGAAAATATTTTTGGAAGACCTTGTAGCACATCACTCAGGTTCATAAGGTGTTACTTTGACTTCCCCCCCCCCCCCTCCTCATCCAAATTGACAAACAATTTCCTCAAAGTGTGCTCTGGAGAAATGTGACATTCTAAGTTCAAACAAACCATTGCAGGTGAATGAGCTGCTCTTTCTTCTGTGACTAAATATTGAAAGGATTTTAGTGTTCTTCAGGAGAAGTCCCATCTTCTGTAGTGGTTTGAAGTTCCCAAACACAGATTTATTGGAGAAAAGGTTATTATGTGTCTGTTAATGTAAAAGTGCACCTACCTGGCATTGCTACCAGATCACACTTCATGCTCCCTTTAGTGTGTTTATGTATCAATGAGGAGAAATGGTGCCCTGAAAACTTAAGTTTGGTTCATTTTTTAAAGGGATTTTTTTGTCTTTCAGGAAACTCCAGAACTCCTTAAACATGTTGGACAGTTACTTAAAAAAAAAAAAAAAAAGAAAAAAACCCAAAAACCTCAAAAAACCCAAAAGCTCTTGTATTTTCATTCTAACACTAAGAGAGATAATTTGGAGCTCTAGATATGCTTTATTAATCCAAGTGTGGGTTGTGTTTCTGCTGTTAAATGCAATGTATTTTCTTTCCAGCTCAGGCTTGTGCAGATGTCCTGGAATTAGCCAAAGAAGCTAGAAAGCGAA